TTTTCATCTCTTTCATGGCGTACGTAAACTAATCATTGAACTGTAGCATACCAAAAAAATGTATTTTTCGCTTATCCTACAGAAAAATTGGTATGGTTTTGATTTATTCACACTGGATGACTATTGTTGTGTTGGCTGTTGTCATTTTTTGACAATCTAAGGGACAGAGGTCAGTGCCCCTGACTAGAGTCAGGTATTGCATGTTTTATAAATTCTTGCTGCACACCTGTTGAAAATCACTTAACTGTCATTGGCCACTGGTGATTGAATTTAACCTCCTATCCCTCTCCCCTCCTTGGAAGTCAGGGGGTGAGACAAAGTTTCAACCCTGTAATCACAGGGTTGGTTCCCTGGCAACTAGCCCCATCCTTGGTGTTTCCAAAGGTCACTCATTAGCATAACAAAACACACCTTTATTCTCCCAACAGTTAGGAAACTCCAAGGGTTTTGAGAGCTGTGAGCTAGAAAGCAAATGAAGACATTCTAAATCACAATCACATAAATCACAATCTATTTACAAATTTATAACATGTAGCAGATGTTGAAGAGTAAATCACATGCTTTTCTTATAGCAATTTGGTACTTTTTAGATTTTCATACAGCTTAGTTTATTCATTTTAAACCCCATTTTCTTTTTTTTAAGTATATTTATTGATTATGCTATTACAGTTGTCCCAGTTTTTCCCCCTTTGCCCCTCTTCACCTGGTACCCCCTTCCCCCAGCAATCCCTCTCTTAGTTCATGTCCATGGGTTATGCATATAAATTCTTTTGCTTCTCCATTTCCTATGCTATTTTTAACTACCCCCATCTACTCTGTATCTGCCGATTATGCTTCTTAATTCCTGCACCTTTTCCTCCATTCTTCCCCTTCCCCTTTCTGCTGACAACCCTCCAAATAATCTCCATAGCTATGATTCTGTTCCTGTTATGGTTGTTTGCTTAGTTTGTTTTTGTTCTTGTTTTTGTTTTTTATATTCAGTGGCTGATAGTTGTGAGTTTGTTATTTTACTGTTCATAGTTTTTATCTTCTTTTTGTTAGATAAGTCCCTTTAACATTTCATATAATAAGGACTTGGTGATGATGAACTCCTTATCTTTACCTTGTCTGGGAAGCACTTTATCTGCCCTTTAGTTCTAAAGGATAGCTTTGTTGGGTAGAGTGATCTAAGTTGTAGGTCCCTATTTTTTATCACTTTGAATATTTCTTGCTACTCCCTTCTGGCCTGCAAAGTTTCTTTTGGGAAATCAGCTGCGAGTCTTACAGGAACTCCTTTGTAGGTAATTCTCTGCTTTTCTCTTACTGCTTTTAAGATTCTCTCTTTATCTTTAACCTTTGGCATTTTGAATATGTTGTGTCATGGTGTGGTCATCTTTGGGTCCAACTTGTTTGGGACTCTCAGTGCTTCCTGGACTTGCATGTCTATATTCTTCACCAAATTAGGGAAGTTTTCTTTCATTATTTTTTCAAATAAGTTTTCAGTTTCTCGCTCTTTTCTCCTTCTGGCACCCCTATGATTTGGATGTTGGCACATTTAGAGCTGTCCCAGAGTTTTCTTATTCTCTCCTCATTTTTATATATTTTTAAAAATTTTTTGCAATTTCTTAAAGAATAAACAGTTCTAAATAATCTAGAATAATCTAGTTCTAACCTGAGTAAGCATTCCTTGAAATTTAAGCACAATAATTTTTTAAGCTAATTCTCTCTCTCATCTAAAAAAAATGTCTGCTAGCTTTAGGTGAATTTGCTGAAAATAATCTAGCTAAATGACTGATAATTTCTCTTAGCCTCAGCTTAGACCCTGCCCAGCTCCCTCTGCAGGAGGATTTGGCATGCTGGCCAGTTTCTGTTATCTTCTGAGGTCTTTCTACGTGCCAGGCACTGTGCCAAGTGCTGAGGATATGTGAGTTGAACAGGTGTTGCGACCACTGCTTTCATGGAAATTCCAGTCTGTGCAGACACATGGAGCAGTGAAAAATAATCAACAAATAGTCACACAAACAAATATATGATTGCACTTTGTGACAGGTTCTGGGAAGTAAGGGAGGTATTATTTGGGGGTGGCAGAGATCAGAGAACCTGAGGTGTGAACAGGAACAAGAATGTAAGAGTTACCAGGGTACAGAATAGATGGAGAAGTGTTCCAGGGTGAGAATAGCAGGTGCAAAGGCCCTGAGGTAGGAAACCAACTAGCCCATTCAAGGAACACCAGTGGACTGGGACACAGTGATAGTGTTGGAAAGTGGTACAAAACAAGGCTGGTGAAGTGGCCAGAAGTCAGGCCATTCACACTCTCAGAGACCAGGGGAGGTTTTTTCCTTAAGGGCAGTGGGAAGCCACAGAAGGGTGTTAATGGGGGAGAGACGAGCTGAGCTCCTCACTGCCCATAGGTCCTTCTGGCAGCTTTTTGGAGAAGGTGCCATGGAAGGCGAGCATGGACTCAGGGAGAGCCGGTGGGCAGCAATGACAGTGGCCCAGAGAAAAAAGTGACGACCTGGGCAAGGGCGAGCTACTGGGGATGGTGTGTTAGAGCTTGCAAAGGTTAAAATCTAAAAAAGCATATATCTATAACACTTTCTATGACAATTCAAACTGCCAAAACTGAAACTTAATAGTGATAATAAAATGTTAAATCTAAAGATTTTGTTCTCCATAGATATAAACAAGTCTTAAGGCTCCTTGCTCCATATTACCAGGACTTAAAAGTCATTACCTGTAACAATAGCAACAACAGCAACATTTACACAAAGTTTCAGTGAGCCAAAAGCCGTCTCAAACCCTTTCAGAGTCACAGTGGCCCTTGCTTGTTTGTTTCCATTTGCGGCCATGGTTCTCCTCAGGGCGCAACTTCATGCTGAAAGATGAGGGAGCAAATGATGGACCCAAGGACCAAGAAGAGACGGCTCAGAACCCATCTGTCAGCTTCTTTCCATTGGACCATTGTTCAGCTGAGGAAGCTGAGGCCCAGAGAAATTAAATAGTTTGTTGAAGGATAGACAGCTGATAGTGTTAGCAGTTGGATAAAAGTTTCCACTGAATTGAGGGGGACCTGAAAATCAGACCTGGGCCAGGTTGGGGCTGGGGCTGTCAGGAACCCATCGAGCCGATGTCATGATGAGTCAGCTTCTTTGGCCTCTGGTCTTGCATCCTGCTCTCCACTCAATGCAGTCCCAGCAGAATCTGGGTGGCCTCATGGGGACCCATGCTCACCTTGGCTCATCTGCAGCTGAGCACTCTGGTTGACCACCCCACCAAGTCTACAAGCAGAGAGGAGGGGTCATCTCCAAAGATAGTCAGGAGCGGGGGTAGGGTTCCAGGTTGGCGCAGAGATCTGGCCCATCCACCTGCTCCTCCCCATCTCAGAGGGTGTCCCACCTTCTGCCCACCACCCAGCCTTAGCACCACAGGTGCCAGAGTCTGCCAGTGTTGCCTTCTGCTATCCTGGGATGTTTCCCATTTCATCCATCTAGATTGGGGTCTTGTAATTTCTTGCTTCTATCACTGGAAATTGCAGCTTTCAGTCTAGACCTCATTAAGACCAGGGGCTCCCTAAAAACAAAAATCTCAGATATAGATCTCTATGCTAAGCTCCTTCACGCTGCCCTGTCCCCACAACCTGGCCCAGCCCACAGGCCTCCTTGAGCCCCCAGTCCCCAGAGCCTCACTCATCCCCTCACCTCCTACTGTACCAGATACAGACTTTGTTCCCTGCCTCTGCATCCTTGCTTTTGCTGTTCCAAGCTCTCCTCTGTTCCTTGTCTTAATGCCTCCCATTTTAGCTCAGATGCTGCCTACCATGGGATCCCTATCTGAGTCCCTGTAGCAACTTATGCATATTCCAATTGCCACAGTTTCCATGTTGTTTTGAAATTTTCTGTTTATCTCATCACTCAGCAAATATTTATTGAGCACCTACTATGTGCCAGACACTGTTCTAGGTGCTAAGGATTGCATCAGGGAACAGATCAAATTCTAGTTGGGTGTTGGGGGAGGTTGACAGGTAGCAAACAAAATAAGTAGACAAACAGCATGTCAGAGGGCGATAAATGCTCTGGAGGAAGAGGGCAGAGAGATGTTGAGGGGTTGGTGCTATTTTTACATCACATTTGAGCAGGTCTATGTGGGTGGATATATGGGAAGGGCATTCGAGGTGGAGGGAGGGGGAAGGGCAAGAACCTAGCCTCAGGGGCTGGTAGGCCATCTTGGGAAGTTTGTGTTTTCTTCCAGTGAAATGGAAGCCAGGGCCCCAGAATGCTGGCTGGAAAACAGCCCTCAGGTGGATGTGGGTGGCTGGAAGCACCTAGGAAGAGGAGGCCAAGAACAGATGTGACTGTGACCGCTGTGGTTTTCCACATCTTCCTCCATCCCCACTGCATGGCACGGAGCAGACACCAACACACGTCTGTTAAATACTAGAGGAAGGGGCTTCCAGGTTCCTTCCTTCCCAAGCACGTCTGGTTTCCAGGATGAGCATACAGGGAGATCCCTGGCTGTTATTACTGCTCCTGGCTTCTCTGCTACTCAACAGACCCCCATATCAGTGGAGGAAGCCCCTCTCCAGGCCTGCAGGTCCCTGGGTTTGGAGAACTGTGTCACTGGGGACCTGGCCCCCATGCACAAGGCCAGGTGCAGGGGATGCGAAAGTGCCTGTGCATTCGTGCATTTCCAGGCAGCTGTGTGCACACTCACCATAACTCAACCCTCTCCCGCTGATGATCTTATGTAACCGTAACTGGAAACAGGAGCCCAGCATCTGGTAGTTGCCCTTTGGGAGTCTGGAAGAGGTCCATATCAGGCTGAATCAATCAGCAGAGCCCACGCCCAGGGCAAACACGTGTGTGGGCTGCTTTGGAAGATTGGATGTGAGCCCCACCCAAGCCGTCAAAGATTTGTTCTTGCACTTTAGAATAGGACAAAGGCCTAATCCCCAAAGCTGGGACTGCTGGGGAGCAGAGGCCCTGATTAGGCTACACCCCACATTGAATGCCCTTTTGGTCTGTTACACAACTTTCCAGGGTGGAGATGTGGGGCTGAGTGGGCGGGGAGAAGGTCTGACTGGGCAGGGAGAAGGGTTCTTAAATGCATTTCCTCCAGGCTGATGCTCATTCCAGCAGCTCCAGCCACTGGCAGAGACTGTGTCAAAGGTAAGCCTCTTCCTTCTAGTTCTCCCCGTCCCCACCTTCCCATGGGACCCTGGGACTATCTAACTGGAGACTGCTCTAGGAGAAGGGTCCATCTCTGTGGCTGATCCTCCCCACCCCCCAGGAGTGTCTAATGAGAGTCCTTAGACTGTATCCCCTGAGAGTCCAAAGCCTACCTGTGGTGGCTCTGCCATCCTCGGCCCTGGGGATGGTGGGAGAAAGTCCTCATGCCCTCCCCTAGAAGGCAGCGGAGCTCAGTAGTTAAGAGGTGTAAGCAGAGGATAGAGATAGAAACGCGTTCAAATCCTGACTTTGCTGCGTGCTAACTGTGAGAGTATAGAGTATTTAATGTCTCTCTGCCTTACTTTCCTTATCTAATGGACCTGTAACAGTTCCAGAGTTTTTTGAGAGGATAATGAAAGGGGAGTCATACACAGGGATGCAGGGACATGGGGCGATATCAGCACAGGTGAGCTGGGCAGGACACAGGGATGCAGGGAGTGGACTCCAGCTATTCCCCCTGGGGTGCCAGGCACATCAGATGCTTTCAGCTCCAAAATCTTTGTGATAACGTTGAGGCATCACTGTCCACAAAGGAGGCACGGGGAGGCTTCTTCTTGAGACCACACAGTTCTAAGTACTTGAAGTGGGGTGCCAGCCCACCCTGTCCCACTCACAGGCTCTCTGCCCTGGGCTGCAGGACCTGGGTGGCTGCTGGCCAGAGGCTGAGGCTCCTGTTTGACCACCTAAGGCAAGGGAGGCCAGGAGGGCCTTCCTGTTGGGCCGTATGGTTGGGGTCATGGTCAGCAGGGGCAGCCAGTGAGAGGGTTCCATTCAGCCTCCCATGAAAACTAGGGAGGGTCCCGTGACACCTCCAGGTGGGGTGTGGTTGGATGCCAGCAGGGCCCCCTGTCTGTGCAGAAAGCCTGGGGTGAGGGTCATACCATGGAGAGGACAAGCTGTGAAAGAGATCAGCAGATACTTGCTGGGACTCAAACAGGGACACACACAAATAAATGCACATAGGAGGCTAGTTCCATTTTTCAAGAAAAATCATATAAACCATATATAATACATACCATATATAGCACATACCATATATGCATACATATATACCTGCCACACACACGTGTGGTATAAATACATATATATGATTACACATATTTTTTATAAAATGGAAATAGCCATATTGTGGTGTTTTGTTTTTTATTATTGTTTTCTTCTGATGTTGGAAGTTACCCAATGTCTGGCAGAGGGCCTGTGTCTCTGGTGGGGCAGGAAGGAATTGCTGAGGGAGAAGGGAGAAGGGAGACTTTCTCTGTGACCCCCTTTTTTGTATCTTTTACATTTTCCACCATGAGCATGTATTACCTATTACCGATGACCTTCATAAAAAAATTAACAAATATTTTTAAAAGATGCCAGCTCACAGCACAAAAATGAAGCACTACAGAAGATGAAAACAAAGATCACTGCTAATTCCACTCTCACTGGTCGTCACCACGTGGGGGCTGCCTGGTGGGTCTTTTCTTGTAGTGCACATGCCCACTGCACCTAGTGTACCTGCTGTTTTGTGACCTGCATTTTTTCTTTGCCCCTGTGAGGCCGGGGGCGGGGTGGGGTGCGTACATCTGGCCCAGAGAGAGCACCTTTATGAAGGTGCCGGAGCACTTGCCCTGCCTCCCTCCTGAGTGCAGCACTGCCCGCCATCACAAAGGCATGGCGGAGGCGGAATTCATTTTTAAATTGTCTCCTGCTGATGAACATTTAGGATGTTTCCAGCATTTCTCTGGATAAACTTTCTTTTTAAATATATTTATATTCTTTTTAAAAATATATTTTATTGATTATGCTATTACAGTTGTCCCATTCCCCCCCCTTCATTCCCCTCCCACCCACATTCCCCCCCTTTAGTTCATGTCCATGGGTTGTACATATAAGTTTTTTGGCTTCTACATTTCCTACACTATTCTTACCCTCCCCCTGTCTATTTTCTACCTACCATTTATGCTACTTATTCCCTGTACCTTTCCCCCTCTCTCCTCCTCCCACTCCCCTGTTGCTAACCCTCCATGTGATCTCCATTTCTGTGGTTCTGTTCCTGTTCTAGTTGTTTGCTTAGTTTGCTTTTGTTTTAGGTGTGGTTGTTAATAACTGTGAGTTTGCTGTCTTTTTACTGTTCATATTTTTATCTTCTTTTTTTTATAAATTCCTTTAACATTTCATATAATAAGGGCTTGGTGATGATGAATTCCTTTAACTTGACCTTATCTGAGAAGCACTTTATCTGCCCTTCCATTCTAAAAGTTAACTTTGCTGGATAGAGTAACCTTGGATGTAGGTCCTTCCCTTTCGTGACTTGGAATACTTCTTTCCAGCCCCTTCTTGCCTGTAAGATCTTTTTTGAGAAATCAGCTAACAGTCTGATGGGCACTCCTTTGTAGGTTAACTGTCTCCTTTTCTCTTGCTGCTTCTAAGATTCTCTCCTTATTTTTAATCTTGGCTAATGTAATTATGATGTGCCTTGGTGTGTTCCTTCTTGGGTCCAACTTCTTTGGGACTCTCTGAGCTTCCTTGACTTCATGGAAATCTATTTCTTTCACCAGATTGGGGAAGTTCTCCTTTATTATTTGTTCAAATAAGTTTTCAATTTGTTGCTCTTCCTCTTCTCCTTGGCACCCCTATAATTCAGATGTTGGAATGCTTAAAGATGTCCTGGAGGTTCCTAAGCCTCTCCTCATTTTTTTGAATTCTTGCTTCTTCATGGTTGAATGTTTCTTCCTTCTGGTCCACACCGTTGATTAGAGTCCCAGTTTCCTCCCCATCACTATTGGTTTCCTGTACATTTTCCTTTATTTCACTTAGCATTGCCTTCATTTTTTCATCTAATTTGTGACCAAATTCAAACAGTCCTGTGAGCATCCTGATAACCAGTGTTTTTGAACTGTGCATCTGATAGGTTGGCTATCTCTTCTTTGCTTAGTTATATTTTTTCTGGAGCTTTGATCTCTTCTTTTGTTTGGACCATTTTTTTTTTGTCTTGATGTGCTTGTTATATAGTGAGGGGTGGGGCCTATATAGTTATTCACCTGGGCAGGATAACCCACGTTGCTGTGTTGTGACACTGTTTGTGGGGAAGGGGTCCCAGAAGGAATGATGGCCCTTGCTCTGACAGATTTCAGTCACTGCCCCAGCTACCCACAAGCAAAGTGGGCCCTTCTGGTGCTGATTCCCTGGTGGGTTGGCTTGTGTATGTTCTAGCACCTTGTGGGTCTCTCCAACAAACTCTCCTGTGAGGCTGGGAGTTCCTCAACCCCCCTGCCTCAACCCCCACAGGTTTTTTCAATTGGTGCTTTGAGGCTTTATTTCCCTGTGCTGGGACCCTGGGTAGTGAGGTCTGTCTCGCTCCCCAGGTGTTCCTTCCTGGTTTATCCGCATGTAAATGTGGGACCACCCGCTCCACCAGCTGCCATCTTGACCACCCACCAGCTGCAGCCTTGCCTGCCCTGGACCTCGACTGCCGCTTTGCCTGAGTCCTTGACTCCTGGCTGCTTGTCTCCGCCCCTCCTACCAGTTGGTTGGATGTTTCTTCTTTAACTCCTCTGTTGTCGGACTTCCATACAGTTCGATTTTCTGTCAGTTTTGGTTGTTTTTTGTTTTTAAATTGTTATTGTCCATCTTTTGGTTGTGCGAAGAGGCACAGTGTGTCTACCTATGCCTCCATCTTGGCTGGAAGTATTTATATTCTTTTTTTAGAGAGAGGAAGGGAGGGAGAAAGAGAGGGAGAGAAACATCGATGTGTTGTTGACTCTTCGAAACCCCCTACTGGGGACCTGGCCTGTAACCCGCAGGTGCCCTGCCTGGTAATGGAACTGGAGACCCTTTGGTTCGTAGGCTGGCACTCAAGCCACTGAGCTACACCAGCCAGGGCTTAATAAGTTTTCTTATTCACAAATGTTTAGAAATGTTGTAATTTTTAGAAACATTGTAAGCTCCTGAGTGTGGACCTACAATGCCAGAGTAATACCTTTTAAAGCAGGGGTGTCAAACTCATTTTCACAGAGGCCATGTCAGCCTAGAGGTTCCTTCAAAGGGCCAGATGTAATTTCAACTCCTTAACAGTTAAGTCGTTACATTTATACAGTCCTAAAATTATTTCAACCCTTTGAAGGCAACCGCAAGGCTGATGTGGCCCCTGGTGAAAATAGTTTGACATCCCTGTTTTAAAGGCTTTGCTAAATGGGGCCAAATTGTCCTCAGGAAGAGACATCCCAACCTGTCACTGTGGCTTCTCCTGGTGCAGGAATCCCCTCCCTACTCGTGTGTGGAAATCTGAAGCTCCGGGAGACCCTCGCTGGCGCCCGCTCGTGGCTTACAGGGGTTACAGGCAGGCTTTTGAGAACAACTGCGGACACTTTGACTTTGGGTTTTCTTTGATCAGCTCGGGTGTGGAATCACAGGCTGCGGCATCCAATCTAAACTGGGAAGTGGCCTGGCCGCATGTGCAGAGCTCTTGGAGTGCTGGCCTGGGAGTGTCACCAGCCTGGCCAGCCAGGAGAGGCAGAAGTGGGACATGAAAGGTGCCAGGAAGGGCCTGCCCCGGCACACTGCCCAGACCCCCCATCGGCACTTACACTTAGGGTCTCCGCTGCTACTGCCTGGCTCCCACTGCAGATGAGTTTCTCATCCAGAGGGCCAGAAGGGTCCAGGCATCTGGGTTAGGAAGCTGCAAAGGCAAAGGCATGCCATTTTCCCAGCGCTCCTGTGGAAGTCTTCCTCTTCCCATACATCACTGCTTCGGAGGGCCCTCCGCCTCTCCTGCTCCAGGTCGCTGCATCTCTCCTCAGGCACCATGAACAAAATCAGCGAGGTTGTGCAGCAGGCCAGAGCTGCCTTCAACTCCGGCAGGACTCGCCCTCTGCAGTTCCGGATCCAGCAACTGGAGGCGCTGCGGCGCATGATCAAGGAGCGCGAGAAGGACATCGCGGGCGCGCTGGCTGCCGACCTGCACAGGGTCCGCTCTGCCAGCCCTAGACCCCCAAACCTACCCTCCAGGGCGGACCCCTGGGCACCAGGTCCAGGTGGCGGGGTGGGGCAAGGGTGGACAGGAATGGGAACAGTCGCTGCTTGCCTGTAGGGCAACTGCTATGTGCATGGAGCCCAGTGCCCAGCTCTTTACATAGAACCCCATTTAGTCCTCCAAATCCACGGCGAGTGTCAGGACCCTTTTACAGAAGAGGCAAGTGCAGCTCAAACCATCAGACACTAAGGTGGGGCGGGCTGGCCTCTCCTTCCTCTGCATTCTGAGCCCCAGATCCCCAAGCCTTAGCGCAGGAGCCCGCAGCTCCTTCCCAGTATCTGTGTGCCACCCATTCCCTCCTGGCTTCACTTCCTTCACCCAGCTTGGAGCAGGAGTCCCTCCCCTACCCGCATTTCCACCACCTCCCGCAGACGTGTCCTCACAAGCTTCTGGTCTCCTGGCTCCTCCAGGCCTGAGCTCTGGGTCTCCCTCTGCACCAGGGAACAGTGCAGCTTGGCCCCCACAGGGAGCTGACGCTGAGGGCATCACCTTCCCTCCTCATCCATCCCTCAACCTGAAGCAAAACCAGACACCTCCAAATTCTCAAACCCTTCGCCTTGCTGCACCCCAGACAGTGGGGACCTGCCTCCCCACTTCCATCTCACCTTGGAGAAGGGCAGAGGGCCCTTTGCTGCTGTATTGTGTTAATCTCTCAAGATTGTTCATCTTAAACAAAAAACCCATTCTGTTGACTTCACGACTCTGTTTTGCCCTTCACAGACAAAGTTCACGGAAGAGCTGCATTTTCTCCTCCCCCACCCAGCTGCCTCCTTGCCTTGGGAGGGTCCCACAGCCACTCCCTCCATCCCTGGTGCAGTTTCTTCTAGATTTCCTCCCACCTCTCTCTCTGGCAGCCTCTTTCCTATACTCGCTTCTTGAAGCTGGTCTTCTTAGGGCTCTGTCCTGGGTTCAAGTGCCATTTTAATTGGCAAGTATTCCTGGACACTTACTGGCTTGGTTCCCCTCCACTCATAAATGACTCTCAAATTACTGCCCAGGTCTGAGCTTCCTTTCATCATTTTAAAGTCAATGTGTCCAAATCTGTCTGGACCCCCCGCACTGGCAGAAAGGGGTCCTTGAAGACCCACCACTCCAATGCTACTCCTCAGCTCTGTACCCCATGTATCCCCCTGGGGAGCCCATGGTGAATGGTCCCCACCTGTTCATGTGTCCCCCCGACAGCTGCTATTTTGTAGATTGGGAGACTAAGGTTAGGAAAGGGTAGCAGGTCATTCACGGTCACAGTGTGAGGGAGCAGTGAGCCCTGGTAACCTCTACCCAGAGCTCTGGGGCCAGTGCTCATGGGGCCCTCTCACTGTAGAACGAATGGAATGCTTACTACGACGAGGTGGTGTATGTCCTGGAGGAGATCGAATATGTGATCCAGAATCTCCCTGAGTGGGTTATGGATGAGCCCACAGAGAAGACTGCCAACACCCAGCACGATGAATGCTACATCCACTCGGAGCCCCTGGGTGTGGTCCTCATCATTGGCACCTGGAACTATCCCTTTGACCTCACCATTCAGCCCATGGTGGGCGCCATTGCTGCAGGTACAGCAGGCCTCCTCCCAGGAAGGGAGTTAGAAAGGATCACTGCCCCTCATTGGGGAGTGGAGCAGGGCCTCAGGCCTGACTGCAGATGGGAGTCTGAGGGTCTGTCTTTCACAGGAGGCGGCAGGGACCAAACTCTTAAGTCAGGCTGGATGCCCTCAAGGCACAGCCAGGCTCAGATGTCCCTGTAGCTAAGATGTTTCAGGGTTTTCTTAGCAGTCAGCTTGCTCTGCATGGGCCCCAAGCTCTTCTCTCCCCTCTCTCCTCTTTCCCCACATCTCCTCACCTGCGTAGGGCAGGTGGGGCAGGTCCTGTGGGGTGCACCTGTGGCTCTTCTGCCCACTCCAAGAACACAGGAGGCGAAGGGAGGCACCGGGCTCAGTCACTGGGAGGGCAGACTGTTGGAGCAGGACCACCCTGACTCTCTGTGTGCTCTGCAGGGAACTCGGTGGTCCTCAAACCCTCCGAGGTGAGCGAGAACACGGCGAACCTGCTGGCCACCATCATCCCTCAGTACCTGGATAAGGTGAGGTGCTCTCCAGGGCACATGGAGAACTGTGCTGGGCCCAGGTCTTGGGGTTGAGAGATAGTAACTTCTTGCAGCAAGGGGTCAAGCCACTGGTGGGGGTGAGGACAGCTGGCTTCTCCTATTGGGGTGACCAGAACTTCTGAGTCAGGAGAGGGGGTTTACTTGGTGAGGGCCACCTGGACAGAGTGGGGGGGGGCTGTGTGCCCTTCTGAGCCTTGCCTTTCTACTTGCATGGCAGGATCTGTTTCCAGTGATCAATGGGGGCATCCCTGAGACCACGGAGGTGCTCAAGCAGAGATTCGACCACATCTTGTACACTGGGAGCCCTGGTGTCGGGAAAATCGTTATGACGGCTGCGGCCAAGCACCTGACCCCTGTGACTCTGGAGCTGGGGGGGAAGAGTCCTTGCTACGTGGACAAGGACTGTGACCTGGACTTGGCCTGCAGGTGAGGAAGCCTGGTGCCTATCAGAGCAGGAGTCGCCCTCCTGACTGTGGTCCAGCTCACAAGGGCCACAGCTCTGCTCTGAGTGGCATGTTGTCCCTACCCTCACAGTGCCTGCGGTCCTGGGAGAGAGCTTAGGGAGAGGGAGCAGGCAGCCTGGGAAGACTTTGTGTACTGGAGAGCCCCAGCTGGGCTCTGCCCAACTTCCATATCCCATGCGCATAGCCTCCAGGGTGGGGGCACCCCAGCAGCAGTAACTCCTGGCTGGCAGGACTCCAAGGCATGAACAGAGGGTCACAAAGGCCAAGCACCCCAGACATCCCCCAGAAATCCCCAGCAGTCACTGACAAGGTTAGCAAATGTGCTGCTACAGGCCCTGGGGACATGTTTAGGGACAAAGGTCTGCTCAGTCCTGAATCCAAAAGCCAGTGGACTGATTAGGGAGACCCCTGCTGGAAAGCTCGAAGCCTCTGGCTTCTGCCAGCCCCAGAGCTCTCCCCCTGCACGCTCACCCCTGAGCCTCCATCCTGAGCTGACGGAATAAAGTGCTTGTTCTCGGGCAGCCTCCCGTGTCTTGAAAAATACCATTTAATCTGGGATTTTCACAGACGCATTGCCTGGGGGAAATACATGAACAGTGGCCAGACCTGCGTGGCCCCGGACTACATCCTCTGTGATCCCTCCATCCAGAACCAAGTCGTGGAGAAGCTCAAAAAGGCCGTGAAGGTGGGTGTTGGCCCACAGAGGTGAGAGGCTACCAGGCAGAGAGGTGGGTGTGGACTTTAGAAAATATTGGATATTTTTTTCTGATCTTAAAAGTAAGCAACATTCTGCAGATAATTTGGAAAAAGATTAAAAAGCATAAAGAAGGAAAAACATGTTCCATCCAGAATCCTGCTACACAAAGACAGTCACTGCTAACTTGTTGGTTTGTGCCGCTCCATGTTCCTCTCTGTGAACACACACGTGTCCTCCCTGCGTGGTGCCCGAACACCTGTGCAAATATGTATTTGAAGCAATGCCGCCTCACAGCACTTCACATGTGTGAAGATGGTGGTGTGTCCCAGTGGTTCCTGGTGGCATTGTGCTGCTGCCCACTGCACTGGCCAGGTGGTGCCCACGTGTTCTCCCAGACAAGGCACCATTGGCCTTGCAGCCTTTAGCTGTGACCAAGGGTCCATGTCCTTATATGAAGACTGTCACCTCCTCTCCACAGGAATTCTATGGGGAAGATGCCAAGAAGTCTCCTGACTATGGAAGAATCATTAACTCCCGGCACTTCCAGAGAGTGATGGGTCTGTTAGAGGGCCAGAAGGTTGCCTGTGGAGGCACCGGGGACGCGGCCACCCGATACATAGGTGTGTACGCTCACCCTTTGGAAGATCAACCCCAGCCCTTCCACCTGCCCAGGCTGCCAGGGTCCCTGCAAGTTAGCAGCAAGTGGGCACAGATACTTGAAGAGCAGACAACCTTGTATGGGGTTGGAGCAGACCTGAGGTGGGCTCTGGTGCTCTGGTGGGCAGGGACTGGGCGCGTCTCCTGGGAAGCCCCAGCCCAGAAGCCCTCTCGCCACAAGGTCCAGGGTCCTGCCCTCACTGCAGCAGCAGTAGGGAACGTGGACAGCAGAGCCACGAGAGGCCTAGGGTGCAAAGCTGGTGAGGTCCTGAGTACCTAGGCTTTAGGGTCACCAGTTGGGGCCCCAGTTAGCCTCCAGTTTGCCAGGAGACTGAAGAGCTTGAGCAGAAGCTCAGATGGCCAGTGGGGGACAGTGCCTCTGGGTGCAGATCCTGAACTCCCTTCCACTCAAGTTAGTCCATTGTTCTCCACAAACGTGTGCCAGGGTGGGGCAGAGCGGGTAGAAGCCTTGTCCCTACCCCTCTCTAAGCCTGGACAGCCTTATCAGCAGAGCAGGTAAAGGAGGCAGCTAGCTGCCTGGACAGGCCAGGTGGGGTCAGTTCTTGGCACCAGCTGACTGGCTTGCTTCCTGCCTCAGCCCCTACCATCCTCACGGACGTGGACCCCGAGTCCCCAGTGATGCAGGAGGAGATCTTCGGGCCCATCATGCCCATCGTGTGCGTGCGCAGCCTGGAGGAGGCCATCCAGTTCATCAACCAGCGAGAGAAGCCCCTGGCCCTATATGTGTTCTCCCAAAATGACAGGGTGGGCCTGGGGCTCCAGGGCACAGCACCCATGTGAACAGGACCTGAGGGTCCATAGACCTGGGCACGGTCCTGGCTTCCCTGCTCACTGCTGTGTTGTCCTCAACACTGTGGTCATGGGAACTGGGTGGGGGGGGGCATTTCCCCCCAGTCCTTGATGAGTGGGGAGAGTGGGAAACCCTGCCTGGGGCTTGGGGAGCAGCCCATGGCTCTCTGTGGGGGCCCTCCCTCCACTTGCTCTATCCTTGAGTCTCCAGGATGTGCCCACATGGGGTGGGGAGGGGGCCTGGGGTGTCCTGGGACAGGAGACTGAGGTAGACTGGGTGCTGTTGCAGGTGATTAAGAAGATGATTGCAGAGACATCAAGTGGTGGGGTGACAGCCAATGATGTCATTCTCCATATCTCCGTGCACTCTCTGCCCTTTGGGGGTGTGGGTGAGTCTTGGGTGCAGTTCGATACCCATCTGTACCCTGGGGCTGGGAATCGGGAGGGGCCAGAGCAGCCCTGGGCCTCAGACTTCCACTGACTTTCCCGGGTGGGCCTCTGGCCTCTGCTAGCACATCCATCAGCCACATGTAGCCTTGGAACCCTAGAGGACCCAAAAGGTCCTCTGGTGCTCTGGCCCCTGGGAGAGACAACACAGGCTGGGTGGAGGGTTCCAGCTGTCTAGTGCCACGATAGGCACGGAGCTCACCTTGGACACTCTCTCTGTTGTTCCCTGCATGGGCACTAAAGGCATGCCCGAGGGGGTGGCCCTCCCTGGGAGGGTCTGGGGGTGTGGGCCCCCTGGGCCTGAGTGGCTCCTCTACACAGGGAACAGTGGCATGGGTGCCTACCACGGCAAGCACAGCTTCGTGACCTTCTCCCACCGCCGCTCCTGCCTGGTGAGGTCTCTGGGGAAGGAAGATGCCTTCAGAGGCAGATACCCCCCAAGCCTGAGCAAGGTAAGAGGGGGGTGCTGTCAAGAAGGGCAGGCCTCTGGACCCCCTGGGTCTGCACAAGACAAGGGTCTCACTGCTGCTGCATGCTCCTCACAGATGACCCGTCACTGAAGCTCACACACTTGGCCTCCAGTGCAGTGCCTTCACCCCGCTCCCAGCACCTCAGAGGCTCGCTCCTGGAGTCCTGCTGGCTCCTCCGTGGATCAGTGTGTGCCCCATGGCCACGCAGGCTGGCCTCCCCTCCCCAAGTCCCTGCCCCCTTGCAGGCCACGGAAGACAATAAAGTTTACCAAGTGCACAAGCGAGTGTGTGCCCATACTTCTTTACAGCCCTGCCCCCGCCTGGCCTCCGCAGTGAAGGGCTCCCCAAAGTCTCACGTCAGCACCCCTCACACAAGGCCTCATGGCAGGAGGCCCCAGTGTTTGTCTTCCATCTGAACTGTGGGGTATCAGCTTCATTTCTGGTGTGTCTAGTGCAGAGGTGACTAAAGGGGCTGGGTCTTGATGACAAGGGGCTCAGAAACTAAGGACCAAAGCACTACTCTCAAGTTAGATTTGGCACCTAGGGCAGAGGCTGCTTGGTGAGACCATGCAGTTGGCAACACGAACCCGCCTGGGCAATGCAGAGTGCTGCTCCTGGGGGCAGAAGGACAGGCAGCCAGGTGAGTCCCACTCACCCCGATCCCTGCAGGTGGGCCCCCACTGCCTCTGCCCCACTGAAACTGCTCTTGTCCAGGCACCATGGACCCTGTCAGCTCCCTCAACCCCTCAGCCTGGCTACCCCTCCTCCCAACACTGTCTCCCTCATCTCTGGGTGCCTGGGACCCCACAGTTCAGTTTTCCTCTTCCCTCACCAGTTTCTGCTTCCAAATTAAAGTCTCCAGCCCTGGCCATGAACCTTGACTCATGTATTCAACTTGACTCATGAACTTAGCTTCTTAATAGAAAGTAATGCTAGCCTGTCCAAAATAGAACTCTTGATTTCCCCCTCTAAGCCATTCCTTCCTGACGTGGCGTCATCTTCTAGAGGACTGCTCAAGCCAAAGCCTGAGAGGCATTCTTGCCTCCCTGCCTTTTTTCAGGGCCATGACCTCAGCTAGCCCTCTCCCCTACCCCCAGACTTCTGGAGTCTGCTGTATTCACTCTCAATCCCTAAAGGCTAGAACAAGGACTAGCACATAGTAGGTGCTCAATGAATATTCATGTAAATGAATTTAAGTGGCATCATTGGTGTTTTGTTGCTCTGAATCCTCCCTTCCTGCCATCTTTTCATTTGAAATTACCTTATTTCAGATGATTAGAAACTCACACGGGCCAATTGTGAGGTAAGACAGCCCAGAAGTTCAGACCCTATCAACAACAGAGACAGGGTTGTCTGATGTGGCCCTTGTCCTCCCAGCACTGAGGCCCCAGAGTCATCATTCTGGTAGCAGAGAGCAGAGTCACCCCCAGTCCAGCGGTGGGCAGAGGGAGAAAGCATTGGCCACCGGACCTCCTTCTTGCCTTCCCCCGACCCTGCTAACAGCCCTGCAGGGAGGGTTGTGAACCCCTTTACAGATTTGGAAACAGGGGCTCAGGAAGTCATGCCACTTGGTCTCACGGTGCCAGCCACAGGATCCGAGTTGCCTTTCTGACACCACGGACATGCCACTTGCAGCACCATTTGGAGGGGCTCCTTGAAACCTCTGTGTGAGGAGCTGTTGAGAGAGCTGGAAGCACTTAGCTCAGAGGAGACAGAGACAAGAGGACTTGCCATTTCCAAAGACGGAGCCTGAGGGTTTCCAGAGGGAAACACTGGAGCACAGGGGTCAATGTCACACTCGTCTCCTTGCTCCTCCCCTTCCTCTCTTCCCACGCCCTGCTCTTTCTGGTTTCTGTTCATGGTTAGAACACTTATAATTTACAGTACGACCCATTTGACTCACACTGTCCTAAACCAGGCTTGTTCTGGACGGATGCTATTTCCAAACTAGGTTTGCACTGTAAAGAAAACAACTAAAACAAATGAACAAAAAAACTTGATATTGTCCCAACACTGTACTGTGATCCAATCTCTTGTTTTTCCTTTCCACTGTTTTTTTTTTTTAAATAAAGGATTAGGTTGAAAAAAATTTGCACAATTATGAGTCAATGTTTCTAAACAATTGCCATTGTCAAAAACATAAACAGCCAAGACTCGTCTCAACTCACATGTTACCAACTGTAAACAGATGACATTTTTTGGTTGTTCTCCACCACATCTGGACAAAGTGCACGGAAAGACATATGACTTCTCAATGGGGCCCCATAGCCACAGCCTTAGTAGCTCATTCTTTAGTTCAATCATCCAATTGCTTCTAGTGTTTAGATTCTTGGATAAAAACAAAGCAAAATGGAAGACAATAAAGAAAAAGCAGCACCATCTATTGTAGTCACAGTCTCTTCCAAATGATACATTTTGGTGGTTGTTACACAACAGGGGGAAGATTTTCTTCACTCATCTCTCCACTCAAAAATGTTAGCAAGTGGACAGTCCTGGGTGCTGGGGACAGTGGAGTATAAAACAGACAGGGCCTGTACTTTTGAGATACTTACTTGTGATTGGAGTGGCTTAGTCAGGACAGGCTAGGTTATGCTTTGGTAACAAGTTAGCTTCACAGTGTCTGTGGTGAACACAGCAGAGCTTGGCGAGCTGTGCTGCACGTGTCCGTGGGGCTGGGGCAGGTGGAGCCAGGCTGGGGAGGTCTGCAGCATACACCCTGGACCACCTCCACTCACGTCCACTCACAGTTGAAAAGGTGCTGGGAAGTGTGGAGGAATATTGTTTTTTGTTGAGCAGCAAATGTCTGTGTCACCTGGGCAGAGAGAGACAATGAACCCATGAATAAACAGAAAAAAATACCTGAAAAAAAGGACAGGCTGTGCAGATATTGAAGAAACTGCTTAGATTTAGAGGTTACCAGATGAGCAGCTGGCCCAGGGAAGGGTTCTCTGTGCAGCCCTCGATCAGCCCTCTGAGACTTAACCCTGACCGGCAGCGACTCTGTCTCCCCTTCCCCAGGTTGGGACTGCTGCCATCTGGCCTCATCCTTCTATCCCCAGAGCATGCTGGCACCACCACCAGAGCTCCACTGGCCCCTGGTCTCCCCTAAAGGTAACAACAGTGGGAAAGCCTTCGCACCCCACTTCTGCACCTGAGCTTCTCCTAGCCCTGCCTCCACTGTGGGCTGACCTTGCCTTCCGCTGAAGCCAGGACGCCTCTTATCTGATTCTCCTGCTTTCCCAGACTTTCTGGTGTTGTCCTGTCTGCTTTGGACTAGCCAGGGGGACCTCTTGAGTGCAGCAGCCATGTCTACGTGAAGTCCCTGCCTTCCTTGCTAACGGAATCCCCATTTCCTACAGACATTCACCTCAAAGAAAGGCCGCTTCCTCCGCAGCTCAGAGATAAGTCCCAAACAGTCTCAACCAACAGGCCCTCAACCCTGGTGGCACCCTAGAGTAGTGTAGTCACTTCAGGAACTTAATAGCAATTTTAATGCCTAGGATCCTGAGCTTAAAAATTTTAGTAGGCTTTAGTTCTTATTGCAGTTTCCGGTTCATAGCAAAACTGAGTTGAAAGTACAGAGATTTACCATGAACCTCCTGCTATCCACAGGCACAGCCCGCTGCCTGGCGCCTGGCTGCCGTCCAAGGATTCACGCTGGTGTTTCATCCTCCTGGAACCCAAACTTTGGCTCCATGTTTCAGGGTGGAGCTGGGGTATTAATTAACTTTTTAAAAGTTCTTCAAGTGATTTTAATATACTGCCAGGGTTGAGAGCTGCTGGCAGAAGCCCACAATGAAGTGTGCTCTCCAGTCAGGGATTAACTGAGGATGGGCTTGTGACCTGGCTGTGGGCCCAGGAGCTGAGGGAAGTGCAGTGGGGACCCTGGGAAAGGCTCCCTCCTGAGGAGGGATGATGATGAGGGATTTCCTTCCACGACGGGGCGTGTCTGGATGCGAGGTTGGACAGGGCAGCTGTCTGAGGCCTGAGGGCCGTCGGCCTGAGGAGAGGCAGACCTGCTGAAAACGGCGTAGCAGAATGACAGAAACTACTTGCTCCTCGAAGTAGGCCAGCTCCTCTTTGTTATATGTGACAATAAATTGTCCCTCCCCCACCTATTTAAGAACTATTTTGAAGTGTGCTTTCACTTATTTACACTTACTTACTTATATTTGAAAACATCCTAATGGATGGAAGGAATCAGCCATTTTTTCCCCCAGGAAAGACTCCAACCTCTCCCCTCAGTTGGTGTCCATTTCTCCTTCTGTTGCCTCATGGTCCACTCCTGGCTCTGGGGACCTTCAAGCCAGCTGTCTTGGTCCTCTTTCGAAGACTTTGCTAATGCTAGCAGTTCCTCTGTCCTGGCCCCTCCCAGCCCTACAAGCAGGTGTCAGCTAGGCCTCCTGGTCCGGTCCTAAACTCCCATGCACTTTGCTTGTGCCCAGTACTCTGACGCAACGGGAAAGGACAGAAGGCCCCCGGGAGGCAGTGCCCCAGGGTGGGCCCCAGTTTACCTCCTGTTTGCTCTGGGACTGACTATACCAGTCAGGTCAGAACAGGAAGTGGAAGTTACTGTGGGTATTTTCAACAGAAAGAGATTCAATAAAGGGACTTGGGTGTCTCCCGAATCAGGGAAGAGCCGGGCCTCTGGGACTGATTCTATAGCCAAACTAGATTTGAACAGAAAAGAAAACAATTGAAAGAAAAAACAAAAAACTTGATCTTGCCCCAACACAGCACTGTGATTCAATCTTTTGTTTTTCCTTTATTCTTCTTCTTTTTTTAAAATAAAGGAATGGGTTGAATGCATGATAACTACCCACCAGGAGAGTCACCTCCTGGAACTCACTCCATGGACTGGAAAGTGGCACTGCCACCAAAACTGCCTCATGACCCTGCCTGGAGTGGTGACTGTACACACAATGGCTGGTACAGAAAACTCCACGTGTCCTTGTCCTTGCTTATCAGCCCAAGCAGTCACATCTTGACAAGTGCCTGTAACAAACAGAACTCAATTCTTACCTAGAACTCTGGCTGCAAGAATCTGGAAAACCTAGTTTTTAGGTTTCTGGCCACTGCCACACTGAAAGCTGCTAACAGGGAATGGGAATGGGAGCTGGAACCAGTTGGTCTTATGCACCACTGTGAAATAGGGGTGGATTGCTCAGCCCCTTTGAGCCTGTTTCTTTGATCTCTAAGTAGTTACAATATCAGTGCTTACCTCTAAGAATTAGTGTGAGGATTAAATGAGATACTGCAGGTAAAGCACTTGGTGTGATG